TTTAAGGGTATTACACAGAAACATACCAAGGGAACATGAATCAAATATGTATCTTTATTCATTTACAATAAACTCATAAAGTACATCATTTTGATTGAAGCTAAGGGCATACAAAACTGTCTAACAGTTGGGTCTAACAGGTGACTTTCTGGGTCTAACAGGTGACTGTGCACAGCGGAGAATTTAAATGGGTTTCCTCCATCCTTTCATTTCGGAGAGTTGGGAGAGAGAAAGAATGAGAAAGGACGGTGAGGGAGAGGAAAATAAGAGAAGAAAGGGAAAACAATAGGTTAAATAAGTTTTAAGAGAAAAAAGGGCAAAAAAAAAAAGAAAATAGAAAAAGTTTAGTGGGGTGTTTTGGTGATTTAACGCATTCCGTCATTTGACTTAACGGTCAAGGGGGTCTTTGTCTCATGGTCTTAGTACAGGGGGGTCTTTGTAATTTACCCTTTATTATATTATTTATTTTTGTATAAAAAGTATGTATATATGATGAAAATAATTAAAAAAATACTTATTTTTTATTTTTTTCTTTATTTAAATTGGTATATTTTGTTTTTCTTTTAATTATTTATTAATTTTTAAAGAAAACAAGTCAGATCGGATCAGATATGAAGATGTAACTTACCGATAGGATTCAAATTCAAATTGAGACCTATCATATCCGATCGGATCTTTAGATCGGATCAGATCCGACTTAAACAGTTGGATCGGATTCAAATATACCCTGATTTGAATTTAATCCGATCTATTTGCATCCCTACCAACCATAAATGCTAAGTGAGAAAGTAAATGGGCTACATACATATAATGAATGGCGTGAGAAAGTGAATGGGCGGCATACATATAATGAATGAATGGCGTGGGACATGATAATTGGTTCCACAACTCACTGCATAACTATTGTGTTCAGCTAATCCAATATATCCCAAGACCTATAGCTGGGACGAACACTGAGTAATGGCCTATTTTGGGGACAATGACACTACTGCAAAATCATAATGACATTGCAACCAGGAAAATTGGTAGGGTGGTAGTTTTGTTCATTCAGTGGTGTCCTTTGGGAGGCTGAATAGGGGTGCAATTTGAGCAGTTTTGGGTTGGGTTTTTGTCAAAATTTGAACGGATCTTGGCTGAAGCCTAAGCCCAAAGCAGTGTAAAATGTTAACTTGGGCTAACCCGAATTGCACCCATAGGACTGAAGTGAAGCACGGCAGCTCCTGGCGTGGACTACACACAGACAGCCTAAGCCATGTTTGGTGAAAAACCAAATAGCTCAAATTAACTGCATGTCAAATCATTTAAAAGGTTATGTGCTTCAGTCTCTTTAAATGACTGTTTTAGAGCGCTCAAAACAACTGAATCAATTTAGCTGAATCTTTATTACCAAAAAAAAAAAAGAAAAAAAACTTGGTTTAATCTTGAGATCGGCCCTCTCCAACAGTCCAGCAATAAGACAATTAGCCATTGACCCAATCAAAGCCATAAAAAAAAAAAAAAAAACTCAGGATCTGATCAGTTGACTGGTTCACTGGTTCAATCACATGGATCAACGACGATTTATAGGGGTAGATTCGAGCTGAGCCGAACTAAATAATACGAGGCTCGAGCTTGGCTCATCAAGGTAGTATAAAGCTTGAGCTCAAGCTCGAGTTCGACTTGAAAAAAATTGTTTTATAAAAATAAAAAAGATTATATATAAAAATATTTTTATTTAATATTTAAAAAATTAAGAATTACAATAATTAATTATTATTATATATAAAAATAAAAATATTATATATAATATTTTTTATAATTTTATTATATATATATATTCAAATTCGACTTCGTGAAGAGCTCTCCTCGCGACCACCCCTATTCAAAGGCACCATTGGAAACTCTTTCCACTTTGGTATTTCCAAAAAATAATCCCAAACTAAAATACGAACAATTTTATTTCATAAAAATTATTGATATAGAATTGAAAATCGTGCAAAACAGTGGACTTTGCCAAAGGCTGCCACGTTTATAGGAAAGCGTTTTTCATAAGCACTTTTAATATTCCTTCAGTTTTTTTAATAAAAAAAGCAAGGCTACAAACTGACTAAGGATCCGAAATTCGTGTCTATTAACTGTGTGCACTCGTTTTCTTCTTTCTTTATAGTATGAACGAATGAATATGACAAGTTGACAACCTTGATACTAAAATCCCAACCTCTGGTTTCATATTAAAACAACAATACAGTAGTCATAAATAATCGCAACGACTAAGAATTATAGGGAGAAACAGCACACAACTAGTGCATATTATTAGTATGCAGCGCTCTCAACCAACTTGTTCAGTTTTGTCTTTCTCAATTTGTCTGCATAAGCCACACTGGCTTGGCATTGATACCTGCAAACAACAAAATAAATTGCAATTAGCCCAAATACAGATTTCCTATTTTCCTCAGGATTTCATATGAGAAAAAATACTAGGACCAGGAAAGGTTCAACAACTCTTCTTGGCTATGTTGATATGTCAGTGTTCTCAGAGTTGAACCAGTGGAGGGTGGAGCACTTGACTGATGACCAGGTGAGCTTCTGGGTCCCAGTATTTAATGGTTTTTATGGTCAAGGTTCAAAGCATAGATATGTACTTACTGTAATGGTTTTTAGTCACCAATATGTTACATACTAGGTGTTATTCAGCTCCTTTAATTTTGTTATTGGTGTAAATGTAGGGGGAGTACAAATGGGCTGAGTGTAAATTCTGATTTACTTTTGCTTTAGGTACTATTATCGGGAGATGTTTTCAATACACAGTGGGATGTGTTGTGGGGCGGCCCCTTGTGGGGCGGAGATGTGAGTGGGTTGGGTCTGTGTCAAATTGAATTCCAAATAAATAGAGCTATAGGGAATGTGAGTGGGTTGGGTCTGTGTCAAATTGAATTTTTGAGAAATCTCAAGCCCTTTGTTCTAGACTAGAAAAATTGATATGGGTGATCACTTTCATCCTGATTACCAAGGATGTAACTCAGGTTGCCCGAATTCAAGAATTTCAACTACATCGGTCTCAGGTTAGGGTTCAGGTCTATTCAAAATTTAACAAATGCTCTATCCAACTGCTCCTGCTTGATTACAGGAACATGGAAAGGAGGAAATAATACCCTGGTGGTAATGAGATCAAAGGGCTCAAGGCCTCTGCTAGCTTTATAGCTTCTTCATCTGTGTTGATGATCTGACTGAAGCAAATGTATCGCCCGCATGTCGATTTATCTTCGTAAGTTCGAATATGGACATCGACAAGAAAGTCCACATCCACAAAGGCTAATACTCCATTTTCATACATTTCGGCAGCTCCTGCAAAAGAGAATAAGAGAAAGAGATGAACAGAATTTATTTCAAACCATGTTCAAGGTGACTGCTTTTGCTTAGTGGGAAGAGAATGATACCTTTTAGATAGGACATTGTGGGCCGAGGGTTTTGTTGAGCAACACTAGGCCCAAGAACTAGACCTGCATTGACAGAGACCATGCTCAACATCCTGTCCATGGCTAGGGCCCAAGCAGCCTGCTCAGAGAGTGTCTTTGCAAGTGCATACCACAACTATGGAGTTCAAAACAGTCAAAGATGTTACATAAACCCATCACTAACAAGATCATCAGATTTCAAAATAAAAAAACAACTCTAGTCTATGATCCAATCTATAACTATATATGGGCTCTGTGATCAAATTGTCCAGCTGGTTGAAAACCTAAGGCCAAAACACCCAAACCATGGCTGGTTTTACTTTATTAATATCATTATCATCATCATCATCCAGGGCCAAGACATGATGATCCATGCCAACATGAAGGCAATTGGACTAGTTTAATTCATTGCACCAGGGACAGGATTAAATCCTTCAAAAGGCCAAAAGAATAAGGAGGGAGGAAACTTGATAAGGAGTTTGGAGATTGAAATAGGACTAGATAAGATTAATAGTCATAATCAAGTGCTTACCAAATTTACAAAATCCTGCGGCAAAATTACCAATTAATGAAGCTCAATCCCCTTAAGCAAAAGGTGGAGGAGATAAGATTATTTAGGAGAAAAGGAAAAGCTTTTAATGATTCCAAGTACTTGATCAGTTGTAAGGGTGGAAAGTCACCAAGTGTAAAGAACAACCTGTTTGAAGTCATTTCAGGTCTACAAAAAGCATTCCTTTTGCAAAGCAAAAACAGCTCATCTCAAGAAGACCAGTAACTCCACTCCATCTCAAGTAAGGAAGAAAAAAAAAAAGAAAAAAAGAAAAGAAAAGGTAGAGAATAGAAATCCATACCTTCTGTCTTCTGCAGAACTCTGGATCACTCCATGACTTCTCATCTATATCCTTCTCAACAGATATATTCTCCCTCCAAATTGAGGAAGCCAAGGAAGAACTGAATACTATCTTCTCTATAGTCTCTGTTTGTGCACATGCCTCCACCACATTGATTGCTCCTCTCACCTCCAAATCCACCATTTTGTCCTACCCATCACTCATAAGCAGAGGAGATGTTAAAAGAAGAACAAAAAACAATAAGAATAACAAACATCTACATGGGTTGATATAGGCAACTCACATCATACCCATCTGAACTATCCAAAGAGCAGAACAAAGCAGAGCAACCCTTCAGAGCTCCAACGATGCTTTGGTAATCCAGAACATCTACAACAAACACCACCAGTCTCTCTTCCATCCTCTCCAGCTCCCGAATTTTCCTCACTATCTCTGTCTCTCCTGAAACAACAATAAAACACTTGACAATAAACAAAAACTGGACAACCCAAAACAACTATTGACTGAACTCAGTAACAGAATCATCAACAGAATTGTAACCTCACCATTGTTCTGGATAGCAGCATGGACTTTGTAACCTCTACTTAGAAGTCCCTTCAGAATAGAAAACCCCACATAGGAAGATGAATCTAGAACACAAACACTTGGCTTCTGGTGATCAATGTTTGCTCTTTTGACCTCTGTTTCTTCCATTTCTATCACTTCCCTCATTTCTTCTTCTTCTTCTCTTCAAGTAAACTGTATCTCCGTATGTATAACTTGTGAGAAAACTTTGGAAGAAGGATGGGAATTAAAAGAGGGGGTTGTTGAAAACCGGTTCACGTTCCATCTACTCGCCTTCTTGAATGAGGAGATGGGTGCTTAATTATTATTTGCTGGGAATGTTAGGTTTCGTGTTTCGGCATAAGTTCCGTATTTTCTGCTTTGTATCGGCCGATATATAATAGGAGATTCGCCGTTACCAAACATGGAGCTTCATCTAATGACCAAAATAGCCCTACTTCAACATGCGATTTTCATCATAATTCATAATGACGAAAGAACCCCCCTCTTGACTGATTCTGTGGCAAAACTTAGAGAAATTGATGTACCAGTTTTAAAACCTTCTAGAGAGGTAGAAACGTGCGGCCATAAATAAGAAAAACATGTACAAATGGACGACCTTTTCTACTGAAGGATATCAGAGGCAGAAAAACTACACAGCACTGCACATTATGCAATGCATCCTACAATCCTAATGTGGTCCACCAAGCATCAGAGCCGTTGGCTCTCCCCTTTATTGACCAGCCTAAGATGGGTCACCAGGGCTAGCCCTCCACCCATGATTGCAACTTGCAAGGGTCCATCAGAGTTCAGACCCTAAATTTGCATGGTTTGGGAAGAAACCCATTACCCATTTCAGTAACTACAACCGTTCATCATGCAAAGATGAACGGCCGGCCCCATGTTTGTCTGGCTGATCAGGTGGGACCAAAGATGATCGATGGATCATTTGGTTGATTGCAGACTTGGAGAATTAGAATGAGTTGGGCTGCTCTACCTACGTGGGTTGATGTGGTTGGGCTATCATCAGTCTTTACTTCTAGCACTAGAAATGTCACTATTTTATTGGCTTGTTTATGTGGTTAGGAGGGAGGCCATGGACGCATTTGAGTTATATCTCTCTCTCTCTCAAGTTTCAAATTGGAATGCGTGTAGGGTGTTTGATGTGAGTCCAAAGAGGTTAATAAAAATGGGGTTTGAAGGAATAAAGAAACAGTTGCGTAGGAGAAACCCAGGTGGGAGAAACTTGTGAAAGTTGATCAGAGCTTGATACACTAGGGTTTGGTGACCAAAAACCAAACGGTTCAACAAGGGTTTTACATGGTAAAATATTTTAGTTTATCAAGTTTTGGTGGGTAGTTGAGGGAGCTGAAATTTGAGGATCTCTATTGTGCCCCGACACTCACCTAACCCAACCTAGGCCATGCGATCACATGTAATCCCACTTACCCATCTACTAGAGGATTAAGATTAACAATTTAACATATGTCAATCCTTGATGCAACCTACTGATCCGATCCATAGATTATACGGTTCGGTTCAGACGGCAACCTGCCCCGTATGGGGTTTGTCAATTATTGGGTGAGCCGTGAGCTTGTTTTCACCAAGGTTATGCAATAAAAACTGAAGATTCATTGTTATTATTCCAAATCGCATCCAATCCAAACTAAATGAAATATCAAAAATTATATAAAAAAACAGAACATATAAAAAATTATAAAAATATATTAAAATGAAAAAAATATGAAAATTGTAAAAGTATATCCTTTTGGCATTGAAAAAGCACTTATGCAAAAGTACTGTTATAAAAGTACTTTCGTAAAAGCACTGTTATGAAAGTATTTTCATAAAAGTACTTTTATAAGAGTACTTTCGTAGTACTTTTATAAAAGTATTTTTGTATGTGTTTTGTAAAAATACTTCCACCAAAGTGCTTTTATAAAAGTACTTCCGCATAAGTGCTTTTGTAAAAGTACTTTATTAGAAGTGCTTTCATAAAACTAATTTTGTAAAAATGCTTTTGTAAAAATACTTTTGTAGAAATGCTTTTATGAAAGTACTTTCATAGAAGTGCTTTTATAAAAGTACTTTTATAAAGTGCTTTTGTAAAAAGTGATTTCGTAAAAGTTCTTTCATAAAAGTGCTTATATAAAAGTACTTTCATAAAAGTGCTTTCGTAAAAGAGCTTTTATAAAAGTACTTCCATAAAAGTGCTTTCATAAAAGTACTTTTATAAAAGTACTTCCGTAAAAGTTCTTTTGTAAGTGCTTTCATGTAAAAGTACTCTTATAAAAGTGCTTTCATGTAAAAGTACTTTTATAAAAGTGCTTTCGTAGAAGTACTTTTGTGAAAGTGCTTTCGTAAAAGTACTTTTGTAAAAATGATTTCGTAAAAGTACTTTTGTAAAAGTGCTTTCATAAAAGTACTTTTCATAAAATTACTTTTGTAAAACTGATTTCGTAAAAGTACTTTTTCATAAAAGTGATTTTGTAAAAGTGCTTTCATAAAAGTGATTTTATGTCAGCTTCAGTTTTGATCAGTTTCAAATTGGACAAGGGTTTGGCCTCATGATCGGATTATTAGATATTTGGGCAAGGTCTAATTCAGACCAATAAAAATATGGTCCAATTTATCTTGGATTGGCCCAATCCAATAATTATAACGGACCGTCCAAATTCAATTTGACACCCCTAATCTCCACCATCCAAAAATTCCTTTAAAATCTCAACCCATCAAATGGCATTCTGGTTTTTCCTACCCTATGAAATTACTAAAATGCCCCAATAAATCCAAAATTTACCCTACTTATTTAAATTCTCCAGTCTTAATTTAAACCTAACAGGGAAAAGTGCACCATTCATAATTTTCCTCGTCCCAAGATGGAATTCATAGCAAAGGTGTTTTAATTAAGGGTAAATTACTAAATTGCAAATCAGTACCTTGTACTCTGGGCCTAGTCTCACCTTGGTACCCGAATTTCAAAACGTGCCAATTAATACCTGAATTTCTAAAACGTCTTTAGTCCTTACTGTTAGCAGTACATTAGGTATCTATAACTTATTACCATAGTTAATTATAGATGTCAAGTATACTCGGGTCAATCGAGTCAAACCTGAGTATCTTGATTGATAATTGGTTTAGTTCTAGGTGTAGTTTACAGAACCCATTAATAATTGGTTTGGACTGGTTTTCCCTACCCCAAAATCAGAATTGACCACTTATTGACCGTGGATGGCAATTTCTACCTTATCGCTGGGTATCCATCCCAACAAAGTGGTGTTTTTGCTTGAAGGATGGGTTTTGGGATTCTACAACCTGTGCGGGTATGGGTAGGGTACGGAATTAGGTTAAACACAATTCTCTCTAACCCACATATTATTGGAATATTTAAAGCATATAAGCTTTATGTATTAGGTGTTGAATTTAATAATATTTTGAATTTTATGTGAAAGATAATTGATAGTTTATATGCTTTTTACATATCTTAATCAAATAATTAGAAATTTTGTTGTTTTATTTGTATTATTTTACATATTTATTGCTTATATATAACAAAAAATAATAGAAAATTAGATGTGGATTCTAAAACCAGCCTACCCATACCCTTGAATGTGGGGAGGGTTTGTATTCTCAAAATCCAACCCAATACGGGTTTTGGGTCAGGTATGGCTCGGGAGGTTTAGAGAGACAGATAGGATTTAGAATTTACAACACCTTCCCTGAACCTGCCCTATTGCCATTCCTATTTATTATTGATTAGGAATGTCAATGGGTCGGGTTTGGTACGGGTTTACCTCAACCCTAATGCAACCCTACAATGCCTCAACTTGAACCCAAACCTGACCTGTCTTAAAATGCATGATTTCCAATTTTGACCCGACCCTATAGGGTCTAACTCGATACCGACCTGCCCATAACCATTTGCTACCAATGGGGAATTGCTTCTCATCTCAAATTGAGGTGATTGGATTTGCACCAATGAAAACCATAAAYTTAATACACAATAGATAGAGGTATATGATAGATCTTTTGACTTTTAGATAGTGAATGGGGTTCTTCCATTCTATCMTCTTCAGTGGTACTGGTCATTGATATTGGAAAAATTGTCTCCTGACCCATAGAATTTCAATTGTATTTTTTTAACACGTTTTAAATACCTAAAATCCATTAATTTAAGTTAGGAAATTGTTTTATAGAATTTAATATGTTACTTTTCTCATTAAAAAAAAGAACAAAAATCAAAACCAACATGTAAAGAAGATCCACCCAACGGGTGAATCAGCCAAAACGTGAACCCGACCTGAGTTGAATAATCAAAACCCTAACCCAACCCTAAAGCCAAATATATTGACCCAAACCCGACCATAGGGTCGGGTCAAGCCAGGTTTACCATTTAACCCAACCCACTGACGCCCCTACTTATTGACTATTGCTCAATTCTTATTTGTCTCAAATTTATTTTAGGAATTATTTGCAGTCCTACCATCTCTTAAAATTTGCAAATTTGCATCCTTAAACCGTGTCATTAAAGAATTGGAAAGATTGTTTTATATTAATGGGATAGATTCAACTAATTGATATATATTGGTTGATATGGACCAATACATATTACTATATTCTCAAATGTGTTTGTCCACGTCAGCTTAGTCTCTTTTGCTTCCTTCCTCTCTTAGAGGCTTAAAATTTTGTATTTTTTTATTTAAAAAAATAAAAAATTAAACATTATGGGCTATTGTCAACGGACTCTCTTTCATTTAATTATTGATTTCCTCCTTAGAGAGTGGTCTTCACACCCACTTCACAGCACTTGTAGCATTGAGAACATCTCCACATGAATGAAAACATATAAATTCAAGAAATGTTTCCCATGTGCAGCTATGGCATTCTATGAGATGGGCGTGAGAAGGATTCTGCAAAGAGGAAGTCCAAACCCATGTAAAATATAAAAACAATCATGTTTTAACCATGGTTTAAAGTATCGATATGCCCGATATGCACGAACATGCATATCGGGTGTTTTGATACTTGTAACTTTCTTTTTAATTTTTTTTCAAAATGTTTTAGGGGTCAGTTTTAGGCTTGACTACCCTTGAAATAGCATACATTTCAAGACACTCGTTATTTGGTGTTTTAGGGAGCTGTCGATATAGTATGTGTTTGGTTCCGTGGGCATTTATGGATAAGTTGTTTATTTGTACATTTTCACTTTAAATGTTTCATATTTTTGTTGTTTAGTTGATCTTCACTTTTAACGTTTTTTACTCTCCACCTCAGATTAATACCC